AAGTTAAATTAAAAGGACAAATAAGAAGCTGCAATCATAAAATGGAAACACCTTCCAGATTCAGGCATCACTTGTTCTTTTCTTTTTGCTTAACTCTTGTCAACTGAACTTGAAATTGAAAATTGAAGCCATTGAGGTGGTTCAAATCTATTTAAGAAATATGCTAAAATATTAATCAACCAAAGAAACAATTAGGTAGGATTTAAATAGGTGATACAAATGGTCAAGTACAGGAAATATGATATGTACTGACTCTATATGTAATTCTCCATCAATCAAGCGTGAATAAGTAATCATATTTATTTGACTTCAAATAAAATAGGGGTAATACGGAGTTTGCACCCCATATTACTGTCCAAAAATGCCCTCAATCAAGAATATGTTGATGATCAACATAATTGTTAATGTAGGGGCATTTTTGTCTTTTCATATGGGGTTAGGGTGTAAAAACAAAGATTTTTTAAAACGGGGTGCAAAATCCAATTTAGACAATAATATGAGGTGCAAACTCAAATTACCCCAATAATATATAACTTAATATCCAGAGAGAATGAAGCAGAAAATGATTTCAACATATTCTTGATTGAGGGCATTTTTGTCTTTTCATATGGGGTTGGGGTGCAAAAACAAAGATTTTTTAAAACGGGGTGCAAAGTTCAATTTAAACAATAATATAGGGTGCAAACTCAAGTTACCCCAATAAAATAACTTAATAGCCAGAGAGAATGAAGCAGAAAATGATTTCAAGCATAAAGCAGCAAAAAAGAAATAAAGCAATACAGAAGCCGATCGGAATAAAAAATAGAGAAACATAGTATTTGAGATTGTATTTGATAATAATCATAATGTTTTCATATTTGTATAGTTTTTGAGAAAAAAATATAAATAAATGATATGATCGTGGTCTAAAAATTAACCTTATACTAACAATTTATTAGCAGAAGCAAATTTTATGTATCACTTACTATATCAGTTTACTGAAACAAAATGAGACTTTATACTAACAATTTATTAGCAGAAACAAAATGAGAATTTATATTAAATTTTGATCCCTAACATAAAGTGAATTCAAGCCCCCTTACCCCACCATAGGAGGGAGCATTTGCGGCACTGGGAATGATCATGATGCTGAATATAAAGTGAAAATCTCTATGAAAGTCATTTATACGAATTTTGGGATGATATGGTATAAGATGATTTTCTAATTGAACTTTTTCTTTGAGTCGTTTAAGTAGATCACCGTACACGTACACAATCCATAAAAATGTTTTTTTCAAACATTAAAACCAAATATACTTCTAATTAAGAGACAATCCAGGAATATTAATTTTGATTCAGGAATTACCTTCTTTATGAAAAACATACGTAGTATTAAACTCAAATCTATGTAGTCCTCTAACAGTAACGCTTTCCTGGAATAAATTTAGAGGAATAAACAATGACAAACAAAATATAAAACAAAACAAAAAAGTAAAAAAGAATAAGGACAATGTTACTTTTGCACCTCAACAATAGCCATTTGTGAGCTCTTCTCTAGGTTGTCATAGTTGAATCGGTTTACACAAAGCAAGAGGCTCCGTTACCATTTTTTAGCCTATTTCAACACATTTGGATCTAATTGATACATAGATGCAGATTTACACTTCAATAATAATGATTTTTTAATCGAGAAGTTGATATGCTTATTCTAACTATAACAACAAATTAGATGTGTTTAGGATAATGTGTGTGTACATATTTATATCATTTCCTTAACAAATGAGTAAGCAAAATAAGATGTATCTTCTCCCTTGTGCATCATCTTATTAATTTATGCAGACAACAATCAATCAATATGCATTACTTCTAAAATCATAGAAAATTAGGCATCATAGGAAGACATATTTCATTGAGGAATTATAACAAACATGTTGCTATCAAAACATTTACAACCATTCATTCTCAAATTTCAAGTTTGCAAAACAAAATTTGCACAAATGCAATATGTCATTTCATACACATGGCTTGTGGATACAGAAGAACTGAGATATAGTTTGGCAGTGTTGATTCTCAGGAAAAAGAATTATAAATTATGAAATTAGAGGTGATTAAACAATAGATTTGAAGGAAATTGAAAGAATTATAAGGTGGAATTAGATTGAAGTCGTTGATGTGAGTGTTTGAACAAAATCTATGTAGTGATTCAGAAAGAGGGTTAAACACAATTTCATCAAATGCAATTTGGCTTCGATCTTTTTCACTAATACCAAAAGTTACGATGAACACTGCTAAGTGACGGAAAAGAACAGAAGCAAAGGGGTAATTGACAAATGCGAAAATGTTTAAAATTGAAAAAATAAAATATATTCAGTATTTACCTGGTTCGTGAGAGACACCTATCCAAGGCATGGATACCTCGACATCGTTGATTTGGAAGGAAGAAAACGAAAATCAGTTGAATTGGAAGCGAAAAGCGGTCGATCGGTGTGCGTACCAAGGGTTCCAGGGATCACATCAGAAGAGAAGAATACTCATGAGCCGTTGATTTGTATAAGTACGAATCGAACAGATGTCAAGTGAGAATGGTTTCGGCGGGATTTTATGTTTTGGTGTTGTAGTGCTATTAAGGAGAGGATTGGACGTGTTTGACATGGAGTAATTATCAGCTAACGGATATCAGATTATGTTAGGGGATTGTCAATAGCGGATTCAGTCAGCGAGTTTGACTAACGGAATAAGTTGGTGTGTTGTCAAAAGATGGATTGATAATATATACTCCGTCACAAAGCGTTTTTCGTTGGCTGATTCATTTAATATTACTCTTTATTAAATATTGCCTCTGTCCTACTAAGAATGAGACAATTCGGTTTACGATGTTTTATCGACGATAAAGCAAACAGATCCATGTCCGCACTCAAATTATTTTTAGAAAAAAATTACATATTCAGAAAATACATTAAAAGCTTAACAAAGTCTCAAATACCATAATCAAATTTAATAAAAATTTGATATGCTACTATAAAGTAAGAGATTAAAAATAGTTGGAAAATTTTATGGTGCATCTGCATTATGGGATGCTCCGCTGCATTCTACAGTTGGCATCACCTTATTGGCTATTGAAACCAGCTCATATATTTTATTAAAAACACGATAATTGCAAACCAAGCCGTTACCCATCTCCAGCCAATTTCTTTTAACAAACAGAGTTCCATCCCGCATCTGGTTTTTGCTTTTACGTCAGAAGGCAGGGGTGGACTGCTAGAGACGAAAGGAGCTCCATCCCACGGCTGATTTTTTTATTTGGGGCGAAAGCAAAAGGCCAGGGGTTGAAGGAACGAACGAATATTCAATCCAAGGTTTCCCGTCTCCTTTATCCCTGCTATCTCCGTTCACAAGAATGCACAACCACATTATGACTTAATCACTTTGCTTCAGGTGAGTTTCATCATCTCTAATTTATTCACTTTTCACTAATTTTGATCATATTTTACTTAAATTTACTATCCCTGATAAATATCCTCCTTCGAATCTAAGCAAATTCCATTCTATATGCTGGCGTTCAGTTTGCTTAAGGTTCACTTAGATTACATCCGTAATATGCACCATGTCGCTCTTCTTTCTTTCTAGCCTCGTGTGTTGCGTGGATAGGCTATTTTATGCAGAAAACCTCAAAAATTTCTAATCTCGTCCCTACTTCCTTTACACTTAAAAATTGTTAGATTGTCATAACAAAGAGGAGATGATGTCCCTCCACGTAGGAACCTTTGATGACTAGATAAAGTTTAGGGGAGTTGCCGAGTTCTAACTTCTTCAGTTCAAGAGTGTTAGGTTTTGCAGCAGAGGAGGAGAGGGTTGATATTACTTTACAGATTTGTCTATGTTCTATCCACAAAAAAATTCAGCCAAAAACTCAACCGGGAAGGTCGTCAAATGATTTTTGCAAGTTAACTGGTCCGGAAAATACATATTCCGGACCAGTTAACTTGCAAAAATCATTTGACGACCTTCCCGATTGAATTTTTTGATAAAATTTGGTATGGATGAACTAGACTTGATGAAGAACATACACAAAAAATTTGAGCAAAAAATACCACCGGAAAGGCTCCCAAATGGAGGAGGCCGGACGGGGCTCCGGTCAGGAATTTCCTGACCGGAATAGCTCTCTCTCTCTCTCTCTATATATATATATATATATATTATTCAAATGTTTAAATATTTAATATTTAATAAGTAATTAGGATAAATTACAAAATTATTATTCTTAACAACAAAATGTTGTTTAAGCACATATTAATGTCTCAAGTTTTTTTACGGTGTATCATTAAACATCCAAAATAATTTATGCCTTTTTAAGTTAGATAACTGAGAGAATTTGACTTTGCACTCCACTTTTTGAGTGATATTGAACTTTGCACTTCATTTTGAGAAAACTTTGACTTTGCACTTCATTTTTTAGTGAAGAAAAAATTCTTAATGAGATGCAAAGTCAAAGTTTTTTTAAAATGAGATGCAAAGTTCAATATCACCCAAAACATGGGGTGCAAAGTTAAATTTTCCCAAGATAATTTCATCATTCAAATTGATTGCTTAGTTATTAAAATTACAAATACGCATGCTTTTTATATTATACTATTAATCACAATCAAATTATTATTATAATTACTATTATTACTAAAAATAATAAGCACGTGTGCATTAGGTAATGTCTCTTTTTACATCATAACAACTATCTCCATCAAGCTAAATTACCAAACAACTATTTACAAATACCTAACATAACCAATCATTTAAAACAACTAATTCGATCAGTTGTTACCAAACCGCTAACAACGTAACTAATTACAAACAAGATTATAATCTAATATTTAATAATTGAAATTAATCCAACTAACAATATCCTTAATAACCTCCCTAGTCCCTAGGCTTACTTGGATATTTGGATGTGGGGTTGTGGGCCTTGTGGCTAAGGATTTTTCCTTTTTGGTACAATTAAATATGTACCCATTCCCAGAGAAAGACTCAAACGACAAAAGGCAACCGTTTGTGGAAAACGAATCCTTTGTTCTTGGGAATGAGAGGAGGCCTCCGGCGAGTCTGAGTGAAGAAGAAGAAGATAAAAATGCTGGTAAGAAATTTATCTTCCCCAGTCTTAAAATCAGTATGGGCAAAAGATCCTTCTTCTTCCTCCTCTTCACCAGACCCCCCACTACTCTTCCTCAAAACCAGAGCCTCTCCGCTTCCCATCTCCGCGCGCCGCCGTAATCCAATCAAGAGAACCGCCGCATCCGACCTCCATCCTATCAAAAGGGACCCACCCACGCCCAAGATCAAATCTTTCCACAATGGGCATTCTCAATCCGGGCCGGAAAATCAAGAAAGCGGCTCTGATTTGACTTTGGGGATAATGCGCCGCGTGATTGGCGGTGGTTGCGCTGGAGATGGCGGTGGTGAGAATGGGTTTGATATTACAGATGAGTACTACCAAAAATTAATCCAAGATCATCCCCATCATCCTCTCATACTTGGTAACTATGCCAAGTTCTTGTCTCAGGTAACTGTTTTTTTTTTATTAAATTTCAAAATGTGGAGGATAGAGATCAGTGTTCTTAACATTCATTAGTGGTTAATCTAGGTGAGGGGTGATTATGCTAAAGCTGAGGAGTATTGTTTAAGAGCAATACTGGGAAGTGGAATTGATGAAGGGAGTATTTTATCAATGTATGGTGATTTGATGTGGGGTCTCCATAAAGATGCTGATCAAGCCATTTCATATTATGATCGAGCAGTCCAAGCTTCTCCAGATGATTGGTAATAATTCTACCACCCTGTTTATGTTTTTTATATTTAGAACATGGCTGTTAGTTTATCTATGTGAGTGTAACCTGAAAAGTATCTATGTGGTATACTGTTTAATGTTATATACGCACACCTTATACATAGTATTATACTGCGGTTTCACTTTCTTTTTTGGAGCCACTCTTTTCAAACTTTGACCATCGATTATTCATATATTATACTCAGTATTAAATTGTGATTTTAAAATGCTTCGGAAAAAAATACTTAACATGTACTCCATCCACGTTTATATAGTTGCAAGTCTTAACACATGCTCTTGGGAGAATTACTATTACCCCTTGGCGTTTGGTCATAGTTACCATAGTTACCACTCTATTCAAAATAGCCCATATCATGATTATAAATCATAATTGTTAATGGGTATTTCTTATTTGTTACTAATGGAATCAAATTGTTGAGTGGTATGACTTAAGCATAAGACTTGTATTGATGAAGGAAAAATATTTAGAATTTTTAGAGCACATATTTTAGACTATTTTTATTAATGTATCTCATACTTGTATATATTATGCGAGATTATTTGCCTAAGCTACTCTGAATACCATTTTTTTATACTAGTAGCTAAGTAGAGTGAATAATGACCAACACCCGCGACTAATAATTATGATGATCAATTGTTTTGAATTTTAAAATTCTATATTGTACAACAACATTTATTGAACTTAAGAGTTATACTACGCATTAAATATAATTAGATCTTTATTGACTTGGGGGGGCAAATAGTGAGAAAAATCGAAACTCGTGGGGAAACTAATTAATTTTTGAAAACGCAAGGTTGAACTTGTAATTTTGACCAAACCTTAAGATGTGATAGTAATTATCCCTATTCCCTTTTGAGATATGTTTAAATACTTGTGACTTTTTCCCTTTTTGGTAAGTTTTTCATCTTAAAAAGTTAAATACCCTTTACTTTTTACTCTTCATATTATTTTTCATTACTATCTTCTAATTTGTGCACTTTTCTATACTATTCACTACCTACACTATTCACTACCTTCTGTGTCTCACTTTAAAAGTTTTAAACTACATGAAAAGACTAGTGTATGAAATGCCTATTGTTGGAACTACACAAATATAGTAAAAATCACTACTATATGGTTGTCCATAACTTATTTTGTATTTTACTAGTATATACTTGAATAATACGGACTTACGGAGTACTCTCTAACTTCAAAGATTGAATTATTGACCGTAGGAAGTGGAAACTTTATTTTTATATAGGAGATATTCTTCCCTAATGGTTTTAGTCAATAATCACTCGCATTCACTGTATATTGTTTTTAGCTTTCTGATTCAAACATTAAAGTAAGAACTAAGAAGCACAATTGACGGTGGTTTGAGTCCCTCCAGACAATTAGGGATGGTTTATAGTTTTATACACACACAACTTCCATGTTTATTTCTTTAGGGATGAATGATTACTGAAGAAAATGTTACAGTTAATGTTACATATGCTAGTAAATGCTGATGTGTTGAGTTTCAAGAATTTGGCATAGTTTCCAAGGATGTGAGTGTTAGAGATAGTTTCAACAAATAAACATATTTTGGATGCAATTCAATTTTCAGTCATGTACTTGCTTCGTATGCTCGATTCCTTTGGGACTCCGGTGAAGCGTTCGAAAAAGAAGAGGAACAACAAATAGTGAACAGTGGAAATAACATCAGTTATTCACCAATTTGTGGAGGATTGAATTAGATTATTCATTTAGTTTCCCTCATGCAGTAAATGTAATTTCCTTTTCATGTTTTCTTTGCTTGTTTTGTTTATGTTTTGTGTGTTTAGATTTATTTTCATCTTCTTGTTGGTAGATTGGTATAATGAGTTATATGCATGGTAGTGCATATTAATTCTTTTTTGCATCCATCTCTAACAAAAAGATGATTCCTTGTTCCTTTCTTCTATGTTTGGTTAATTGGTTTTCATAAATGTGCAATAAGCATAATACATGTCCTTTTTTATGACAAACACAAAGTTGTCAGTGTACTATTGTTGGATGAATGAAGAAAAATGTTGCTACCTTAATACTTCTTTATAAAGAAACAATAGTTTCCTTCTATTGCACATATATGGCATTTGAATATTTGATTATTGTAATTCACACTTCACTAAGATTATTTAAAATATAACATGAAATTAGGTTTTTATATAATCTTGTCAAGGGCAAACTCTCATTGCAATATATGACATTCTGGATGTTTTCACTGTTTATTTTCAGTTTGAGATGCTCCGTATTAGATTAGATTTAAATATATTAGATCGGATCAGAGAATTTCTTCCCCAATCGAAAATATCCTTTGATACTACTCCATATTTTACAACCTCTTACAAACTGGTTTCGATTTTAGACAACCTTGAACGTACTAGCTCATCCATATTGCATAACGATCCCAAGAGGTCAATGCGTCGAATTTAAATATCATGAGGGGGATTGGTGTATTAAACCCAAGATAAACACAATAAAGATCTCATGTAACAACAATGATAAATTAGTTTACTAGTTTGTTATAAAAATTCGAAAACTTGTTCCATATTTTTGTTTCTCACATGTCAATGATAAATGAATGGATGGATGGATGGATGGATGGATGGATGGATGGATGGATGGAGGGAGGGAGGGAGGGGCTCTAAAGAGTCGTTTGGCTCTTGACCCACATCCCAAACGGCTATATAGCCGTTGGGTGGGTACCAGGGGGGCCGGGGCTTGTGGGGGTGGGGGTTAAAATTAAAAAAAAAACTATAAATACTCCTTATTTTAAACATTTTTCCACATCTTCTTCAACTCTTCCTAAATCCTTCTCTCTACTCTCTAATCATCTCCATCTTCATCTTCTCAAATTCTCTTATTCTCCATTATATTTTACTATTTAATACTTATACATATATTATATCAACTTTATATTAATTATCTACTTATAAATACATATATTATATTAGTTATATTTCTTATCTACTTATATATTAATTATCTACTTTTAAATACATATATTATATTTACCTATATTCCTTATCTACTTAATCTCTACTTGTAATCTACTTTTTTTTACTCAAGGGGGTGTCTGGGGGAGGGGGGCTGGGGGAGCCTGGAGTAATAGGGGCTAAAACATATATTACAATTTACATATACTTAATATACACTTTATATATTAAAGTATTAAATATAAGTGTATTACTCATCTTATAGTAGTATACTTATATATTATATACTATAAACATTATATTATATATTAGTTATACATTTATTATATCTACTAATATAGTTGGAATTATATCTAATTAATTCGAAGTATATTAATTAGTATATTAAGTATGTGTGTGTGTGTATATATATATATATATATATAATATAGTTAAGTAAATGAATAAGCTGCAAAATAAAATAGGGGGGGGGATTTGTTTGAACCGACCCGGCCCGGCGGATAGCCCGACCCGTGACCCGAACCGAACCGAACCGGAACCGGCCTAAGGGCGGGCCGGTCCCGGGCCCAACATTTCCTAACCGGCTGCTCGGTCGGGTCTAGGCCCGGCCCGTGCCCGAACCGACCCGAGTCCAGCACTCTACATGCAGAAGAAAGATTTATTCAAATAAAACACACTTTTCGTTAGAGTAACACTTGTGCAGACAAATTAACAAAACATGGCGCATCAAACTATAAAGGGGTTAACTATATTACAGGACACACCTGCTTGAATTAAATATTTCCTGTTAGAGATTATTATATTTTAATTCTTATGTTTGATTTTTCCTTTTCAATATAAAGAAAAATGTTGATTATTGGAACAGATTATTTTGGGTCTGTTTTAGAGTAACTTCATTTGGACTATCTATCAATTTATCAGTTGCGACTTCGGTACTGGAGGGCCCAATCAGTCCCATTCTGGCTCTGATTCGGATCCATAGTTGTTTTTGTCCTTCAAAATTAACGTTCCCAAGACGAAGACTGAAATGCTGAGATGCATCCCCAACTTGTATCTATATTCTATAAGTATATATGCGCATACATCTCAGGGGAAATTGTGTTAGTATATACGTAGTATAAGTAAGCTGGTGTAATTATAGACATTTTTAGCCAGAAACTATTTTTTTGACATCCCAAAAGTAGCTACTAATTAAAAAATAAGACTATGGGTACTTGTTTTAGTGAAGATAGTCACTTTAGCCTCATGTGTTTTTAGAGGAAAACAATTAGATGTCATTAATAAATCATTAATGATTAAACAAGGCATCTCGAATATATGTAGGGGAATGTAAAACCCATACAATATGATCGAACATAAAAACATCTAACTAGCCAAATTATGAGCGACCTGATTCACAAGCCGTGTATCATGACGAAATGAGATATAGGAAAAGGAAAAAGGGAAAAGTAGTGGAAACTATCAATCGTCATTTCAATAACTTCAATAATCAACTTAAAACTCGAACTGTCCACTCTCAAGTCTCAACTTCATTTTTAATAATTGAGTAAATTTCACAAATTCAATAAATTCTATAAAATCAAGTACAAGTTCAACAAATTCACAAACTTCAATAGGGTCAACCATTGAGCCTTACTTAAGTCTAAAGGGGATATGTTTAAGGAAGAATTATTCACGATGCAAAGCAGCATTCTCTTGAAATTTTGAGCATATGAGTTTGTATTAAGGAAGGATTATAGGGTGAACAATGTGTAATAGGTTCCATGAGCATCCAAAACTTATAAAAACATGGGATCTTGAAACTATTTCATGGGCAACAGTTACAATTAAGGGGCAGATGGGCATTATGAGCTTAAACATCTCCAACTTATAGAAAGGGATTCAAATTATTACCTGTGTGCCATTATTCTGCCAAATTTAATTCACCTTTTCACTCTAGCTTTAGTGCTTTACTACCCAACCTCTCACTAACCCCAAGGCCCAAGCTCCATTAACCCATCAAATAGTGATTTAAATTATAATAATGATAACAATTACTCTGTATATATAACAATAAAAACAATAAAGAATACATCTAAACCCATAAAAACTAAGACCCACAAATTGTCAAAAAAGAGTGACCTTAAAGTTTGCGATCTGCACGACTGCACATAGTTTCTAGTGCCACAATTTGTAAGAAAAATGATCATTACAGACAACCAGACCCCCGTTCTTTTTAAATGAATCAGAGCCTTATTTGTACTATGCAATACAGAGTATATCTAACCCAAAAGTGATTTCCAAGCACGTCCCCCCTTCCCTGCTTTTAATGGTCCACAGCAATAGATTCCCCCACCATAGTAATGTGTTCACCGTCGAAACAAGACTCATCATTCACCTTAGGCTCAACAATGGCTGCCTCCACTTTCGGAACATCACTTTCAGTTTTGGCAGTCTCCTTGGATTTAGAATGCGAAGATTTCTTTGTTTGACGGGATAATAAATTAGTATTATGAGATGGCAACTTAGGAAGAGACTTACGATAAGTCCTTTTGGGAGTAACAAGAGAATGCTCCTTTGCATGGCTATCCCCGGAGAACACTTTTTCATCTAAGCTCAACCTACTAGGCCGAATGGTATTGCCATTTCCACTGTTCTCTTCTCTATAAGGAGAGTCCTTTTTCCGGCCAAGCTTGGGAGATTTCGCTCTTGTTGTAGGAATCTGGATTAGAGTGAGATAGCACAAATATGGCATTAATAATCAATTAAAGATTGCCATATATATTATCATAATTTATGAACATAGACTATTGACCTTTGTTTGGTGTTGTGGACTTGGTTCTGGATTTCTAATTTAAAATTTTAAATTCATTTTACTTTTTAAAAATGTGATAATGTGATTTCATTTTTCACGGAGATTTGTAATCACTGGAATGAATGTAATGGTCACATCGCAAAATTCATGTACGAAATGCTTAAACTAATAATTTTAATTTAATTTGAACTTTAACTAAGGAAGCATGTCCAAAAAATAATAATATGATAGTATTCTCGTAAAAAAAATCAAGTTTGTAAAATATTGAGTTTTTTAGTGGGAAACATTTTAAGAATTACTGAGTGTTCGTTCATGTTTCATCATATGCATACTAATTTCAGTATTTCACAATAAAGGGTAACCCGGTGCGCATTTCAGACTTTCAGTATTTCACAATATTATTTTTATAACAAGGCGTAACTATAACAATCATCTCAACTTATCGCACAGTGTCAATATATTTTTTCAAGCAAGTGAAAAATATTTTTTTCGCATATAGAATGGGAAAATTAGTTACCTTTTTCAGCTCCACCTTCGGAGGTGGAGGTTCCTGATAGAAGGTTGGCATTGGAGTTGCTTTAAATGTTAATGACTTTCTAAACATTTTGATCTCAGCTTCTTGTGATTCCTGTTTCAATAAGAAAAAGGGAATATCATGAAAACATTCTATGTTGTATCTTAATTTTAAAATGAGATAAACATGTACGGAGTATTAAATACAAGGAAAAGGACTCAAGCAGTGAAGCAAACTGTAAACTATGTAAATCCATGCATTTTGCTGACAATTAACAATGAACTATTACTTATTCATTCATGTTTTCTTTGGTTTATAGGAGTGAAATTGAAAAGTGAGAAAGATGAGAGCAATAGAATAAGAAATTAAGAAGAGAGAAAAATATAAGAAATAGGGCAGAATATTAGTAATTTTAGTGTTGTTTGGTGGTAAGAGATATAGGAAAGAAAAAAGAGGAATTGGAAAAAAGAAAAACTATGTAGTATTATTTTGATCCATCCATGACAATAGTATCCTCATTAAGTAAATAATATTTTTTTGAAATAGAAGTCATAACAATATGGGAGGAAATTATATTTTTGTGGGTCTCACCTTTTTTCTTCTTTCTTACCTATTTCTTCCCAAACCTAACAACCAGTTTTGACTCTTTCTTCACTCTCTATTCTCTACCTTTCTTCTCTATTGCCTTTAATAAAATGCACTAACAGCATAGGCCAATACACTATACACACATGCAATACCTTAGTCTTTGCTTGCAAATTATTCTGTTCCATTTCCTTCGCATGGATCTTTTCCTCTAGCTTAGAGTAGAACTGTTGAAAAAGAAGAGACAAATTTAG